GAAATGCAGGTAATATAATAAAATTTAAAATATTTGAACAGTTTACAAAAGATGTCCGAATGAACAATTGACTCTAATAGAAATCAAGGAAATACTTATTAAAATCAATGTGATAGTATTTCATAATCAAAGGATAGATAAAATGAAAAAGAAGGAAAATATCAAGTGTTGGTGTGTATGTAGTTACGAAAACTCTTATTCACTGTCGATGGGAGTATAAATGATACAATTACTTTGCAAAAATTTTAGCACTATCTCCTGAAGCTGAACATAATTGTTCTCAAAATTGAAGATACATGCATATATTCATCAAAAGACACATATTAGAATATTTATATAAAAACTATTCATATTAATCTCAAGTTATATAGCCCAAATAATTCACCAATAAATACAATATAGAAGAAATTTTAAAAAAACATAATACTGAAAAAGCCAGATATAAAAATAGGACAAAGAATTCGATTCCATTTATGTAATTGTTTTTATGTTTAATCATTTTCTTTTAAATTTATTTATTTAAATTAGTTTCAAGTATAAAGTATATTGGTTAGATATCTATATAGTTCATAAAACAATCCTCCCAATTTATACAAAGTATTTTGGTATGTTTATTTGTGAAAATACAACAAGCAGTGCAGTGATGATATGGGCACTTTTTAATGTATACTTATTTTTAAAAAATGTTTAAAAATCTATATGTCTTATAACTCATAAGAATTAACTTTCTTTTTGGGGGAGCAGCTCTGAGAAACTTATTAAGGTTAAATTTATGAGATGTGCATTGATCTAATTTAAGTACACAACCCCTCACATTTACATGTATATACCAAGTTGACCATAGGTCATAGTAATGTCGTTCCCTCTATCACATATCATCACACTTCCTAGGGTAACAATATTGCACTAATAGAAAATGACAACTGATTTGTCATAACGCACCCCAACAGCCACACTGATATATGCCACATGCCCAAGAAAACAATGAAATCACCCATTTTCATCTTGAGTGGAAGCAGCAACATAACAAATATTAAGGAGAAATATGTCACAACCATGTTAATAAAATTCTGCTGGGAAGATATGAGAGAGCAAATGTTTAAGATTTAGGGCAGGACTTTATCTGTTTGGAATTTCAGATTCTTTAGTCTAGTCAGAGACGCGATGCTCAAAAGGAAATCAAACATGATATTTAAAGACAGTTAGACTGAGTCCCGAATGGCATGAAGATGAAGGAGACCGAAAAAGAAGAATGACTGGTCACATTTTGTTAAATGTACTAAGAATCACTAACGTGGACCTAATTTTGTTAATAGTCCTGGCCTGGCAAACTCCCAATCTGATACAAAGGCTGGTTCAAATATCCATGCCTTCTAAAATCATTCCTTCCCTCTCCCAGGAGGATTTATTGTCTCCTACCTATCTTTTTTTCTCATAGTATTTTGCACAAATGTTTATTATACTTATTATACACTTATCACTCTAAATTGCATTTTTTTCTTTTGTATGGCTGTCTTTTCCCACAAGTATATGAAACCTCAAGGCAAAGGCTACATCTTAGCATGTAGCACAATCATTTAAAATGTTTTAATAGTTTTATTATAAAAGGAATACTACACATATAATAAAAAAAAATTCAAAACAGCACAGAGAAATATAAAAAGATGGTTAAAATTTTCCTCCCCATGACGTAGGCCAGGGGTCAGCAAGAAATATTTTAGGTGTTGCAGGACATATGGTTTCTGTTACAACTATTCAACCTTACTCTTACATCACAAAACAGCTATAGATGGTAAGTAAAAACAAATACATGTGATTATGTTCCAATAAAACTTTATTTAAACAGGTAGCAAACCAAATTCGTCCCATGGGTTTGCCCAAGGTTTGCCCATTCCTATACTAGACCATAGTATTATGTCCCAAATTAACAACTGTTAAAAATTTCTGATAAAGTGTATTGCTAGTTGAATAAATCTTTTACGCAGCCACAGCTAACCAAAATGTAGTCTGTAAAGACATCAAAACACACAATAGTTGATCTATGACAATTTCTTCACAGAGAAAAAAAATTCTAAATTGCTTTGCTTTTTCTATAAAGAGAAGTATATGTGGCTTAGGCTAACTACTACCTTTGTCAAGTGTCTGGAGAGTCAAAAAAATACACACACACACACACACACACACACACACACACACACACACTCGTTTTGGGTGCCATCTGATTTACTCCTCAGTATGAGCTTTAAAGTATGGTTTTCACCAGAAATGAAATGGCCAATCTAGTTTTATGCCCAGATGAGCCTATAATGTTATCTAACCTACTGGACAACTAACTCATATCATAAGCTTTAATACAAGGACCCTGGGCTTTTATGGACTTACCTCAAAATTGCACACTAGAGTGAATACTGTATCAAAGATAATGCCCATTTCAAGCCAAAAAAGAAAAAAAAGTTTGAAATACCCTCACTTCATAAAGTCTGGAGCCTCATGCACATGCCTCTGAAAAAGAACTGTGGTGGCTACTGCTTATCCCTGTGCCCAGCAATCTGGCACACATCTTATGGGGCCGTTAGGGGTATGATGTAGTATCTATGAATACAAAATTCAGAACTTATATCAAAACTTAAATAAAAAAAAACTCATTGGTAGGAAAGAATCTATGAATGTAAAATCAATATCTACTCTGGAACATTTAAAAACCATTGATGAATTACAAGTTCTCCATTGTCACCGGCTTTCCTTGGTTTCTCACTGTTCCTATGATTCTCTCTTTGGGTCTCTGGGTCTCTGTGTTTCTGCGGTAGCCTCTCTGTCTCCCTCTCCCTCTTTTTCTCTCTTATGTTCCCTATTCTCTCCCGCTTCTCCTTCCTCACTCTCATACTCT